AAAAAATCGCAGGACCCCTGCAACTTGGCCATCTCTTGCTGTCCCTGGCCCCAAACCAGCCACACGCCAAGCAGGTTGGCCAAGCAACTGGTGGTTTGGATTGGCGGTTTGGTGGTTGATAGGTGTCAACAAGAAGCAAGGGTTCAGTTCCAACAAGCCACCAATCCAAACCACCAACTAAGGGTAGCCTCATAAACTGGTCTTGCCAAAAAGGACAAAGTCCAGGAGCTCTTCAAAGGGAAACCTGTAAACTCTCAAGAAAAAAAAATGGAAACCAGCCGTCTGTTCGTTGACTCTAAAGGGACACCCCTCGCGGAGTTCGTCTTCCTTCTGCCAACATGCGTGGCGAGTGACAGCCAGAGGCGCACTGCGGCACATCCCGCTGCACGCGCTGCTTCCACTGCGGCGAGGAACTGGCAGCGTGGCAATGAAACGTTTGGTTTGGAGGCAACCATGATTCATCCTTTGCTTCTATTGACAGACCACGAGATGAACATTTGAAGATTGGCTCCTTCAAACGTCTGGATGCCATTGTTAGTTTATATGCGGGCTCGGCCGACACTTGGGAATGGCAAAATTTAACCGTGTCTCCAAAACACGGGGCAACACACTTTGCTGGAAAAAACCTGTCCACCAGTGATAAATTCCCTTTAAAGCCAACCGTGGGAAATAACAACTATCTTTCAGGAATGGAAGTTCTTAAACCCCAATGATACAGCTTCAAACAACAAAGGAACAACATAGTCTTCGAGCACATTCAGGAACTCACTTCCCTCCGTCCCAAACTGGTCATTTAATATAACAAACATGTAACAATTTGCGATAAGATAACAGGGTTCCTTTTGAAGGTAGGGGCCGTGTGTTTGCATCCAACCGTGGCAAACGACGACCCTCCTGCATGTTGAATACAAACACAAAAACGTACACCCACAGTCATGCTGCTCTCAATAAATTCCGCTGCCCCAAATAGATGGGCTCAGCATGCTTAGAATGCTAGTGCAGTCACGCGGATCCTTGCAAACAGGCACCAAGCAGTACGAATTTGCTGTTCAGCGCTCAAATCCTCACTGGCTGTGGATGGCCCCAAAAAGTCCAAACCTTATATTTACCACCAAAAAAGTATTCCCCAAAAGATCATGAACTCAGGAAGTGAGAATCCTCTCGACCCGTCGACACTTCGAGAGCCCCGGCCTGTCGCACTTGTGGGCCTTCAATTGCACCAAGCCCAGGCTGCACTCCTCGGCGCGTTGACTGAGCGGCCGTACAGACCAAAAGGGCAAACTTCTTGAAAAAGGGAACACCCAAGACAACAAGCAAGTCGGAGAAAAACAATATATATATATATATATATATATTCATGGAATGTTAAAGTACCCCCTGGCTGACTACCCCCCCCCCCCAGAATTAGGGATAACCCCTTATTAAGGCCTTATTAGGGTCTTAATCAGGCCTTATTTTTCAGTCAGCAAAATAAGGCCAAAATAAGGGCTATTTTGTTGCTACCGCTATTTTGGTCTTATTTTTGGGCTGCGTGTGAACGTCTTGCCAGCTTCGAAAGACATGGCTTACTCAAGTTCAGGGTTCGTGCTGAGTAAAAGAAACACACAAACTCCAGTCAACATGTGCAGCAACCGCTACAGCTGACACACATATCAGGTACCGCATAATCTACAATCTTCAAATTCATGTTGTAACCAGATTGCAATGGATGTGGTGGAAGCGCATTGCTGCGAGTCCGCCACAGAAGGCGACGACTTTGACGCCCAGTGCGCCTGTTTCTGCATTAGTTGAAGCTGCAAAGAACCGCCTCCCTAGACTGCCCCAAACTGTTGGCCGATTGCTTAGTCGAGGTGTCTCTCACGGATAGCAGTTCAAGACTTTGACCTTAGGTGTGGTGCGCATTGCTGGGACTGATGTCACTGTCTACACTTCTGGCAGTGCTCAATCTGAGTGGGTCGCTGCTCAGGCGAAACTATTCACCAAACAAGAACAACATTCATTTTTTGCAATTGTTCAAGTTTGCGGTTGAGACAGTCATTCGATTTTTTCTATGGTCCATAAGTCGTTGGAGGCAGTGATGCCGTTCATGCGAACGAAAGCGCCTAAGAAAGCCAAAGAGACATTGACGAAGTCATCTGAGATGATACTGGATTTTCACAGGGCTATGTGGCCTGGAATTGAGGTGTTGCTGCGGAAGTCAAAGCACTGTCACGGCGGCGTACTTCAAAGAAGTGATGCCCCAACCTGCTGGCTTCAGCACAAAACGATTCCCACATCCGTATTTGTTGCCTTCATCGTGTTTGCGGTCCACTGCAAGTTCAGGCAGGTTCGGGATCGGAGTTTTGCTTCTGCGTCATTTGGTCAACTGCTATCGGCGATGGCCCAGCAAATCGAACATTTCAACATCGACCATGATCGTGTTGGTGATGGCAAACGCGTGATTCTTTCGGTGGATGGCGCTGGCAATGTCGAGGGAACACTTTTCTGGACAATCGATTTTTATCGTCAGAACTTGTGGGGCTTTTGGTCCGAAGATGCCAGAAACGAAGAGAAAACATGGATACTCCACAACAATGGTCTTGGAAAGCGGCCGCTGGTTGAAATTTTGATGTTTTGCCTCGACCCGCAGCACCCCAAACGTGTTCAAGATGTTCTGCTGGGACCCTGTTTCAACATCCTGACATGGCTGGCTGACTACCTAGACCGGTCGGTCTTGGATCTCCGCCGGGACTTTATACAATTCCGAGCTGCAGACTACTGGGTCAAGAACAAGAAGAAACACAGGAAGACTATAAGCGCGGTGCTTGTTGAGCAGGTTGCAAACACTTTGTGGCTGGGTCGGGAGGGTGCAGATTCAGAGGATACTTGCAGCAAAGCTAGCAATACTACTTGTCAGGTCAACAATTTTGCTTGAAACACGTGCCTTCCTTTATCATAAATTATATGTTAAGTTAGTGTTCAAAGTGACTGGGGACCCTGTCTGTTTGTTTGTTTGTTTGTTTGTTTGTTTGTTTGTTTGTTTGTCGTTTTTTCTTTCTTTTGTTCTTTCTTTCTATATTTCTTTCTTTCTTTCTTTCTTCCTTCCTTTCTTTCTTTCTTTGCTTCTTTTTTTCTTTCTTTTTCTCTCTCGCTCTCGCTCTCGCTCTCGCTCTCTCTCTGTCTCTCTCTCTCTCTCTCACTCTCCCTGTCTCTCTCCCCGTCCCAGGATCGCTTTCTCAGCAATGTCATCGCCAAGCTTGACCGTGCTTACCGATCAATGGCGCCAGTGCAGGTGTACATGCCTGCCACAGCTGGAATCTCAGAACCGCAGTCACAGACAGTCAGTCAGCCAGGAATGATCCCAAACATCCAGCCAAGCCGTTTGGAATTCCAGCACTGGCTGACTGGCTGACTGGCTGACCGCCAGTGACTTGTTCATGCTGTGAGACTTGCTGAGTTTGTCTACTTCTGCAACGCAGCAGTGGCCATGCAAGAGTGCAGCATTTTCCATGCCTTGGCCTAAGGAGTTCGTAGTTGAGCAAGTCCGCAATTCCCGTGTGAAAAACTAGATCCGCACGCCAATTGACTGAGATCTTCATGGATGCGAGCGCGATTGGCAAACGGCCATGCGAGCTCACCTGGATTTGGCTGCCTCAGAAGCAGCAGGGTGCATGGGCGCCGCCGCTGGCCGGGACCTTTGGACACAGAGTCGGATCACTTTCCAAGTCACGCCACGCCGCTAGAAGTCACACGTGTGCAAATGACTTCGCTTTGAGGGAGCGATACAGGCTCAAGCGATAGACTCCTTTGCTGGATGACTTCCAAAGACAAAACCGGAGAAACCCACAAGGAACTGAGCTTCATTGAGAGATTGATTGGTTGGTTGATTGGTTAACTGAGTGGCAATCGTTTGACTGACGCTTGTGCACACGCAACTCAATTCTGAACCTGGAACTCGGTCAGTCGCATGTCATTGTGTAGTGAATAGTTGTTCTCTCGATCCTTGTTTTGCAACATGACACGTGCTGATCTCGCAAGCCAGCGTCAGTGCCAAAGCGCTTTCGATGGCCGCGTCGCTCCAGTCCGTCACGGACTCGGAAGCGCCGATGTGGACACAGCCTTCGCAGCTCTCTCCCAGCGCAACGCCTACCGAGGACAGGCGCAGAGAATTAGTGGAGCGCTCGTTGGCTAAATTCAATATCGACAAGTTGTCAAGAGCACAAGTGTCGCATCATCATAGCGCACACAACTCAAGGGCTTCGGTCGATCTCATTCAAAGATTACAACAAAAAGAGTGCCCCTGCTTCCAGGACATGCAGCAAGAGAGCATGCTGTCAAAAGCCGCTCGCTGTGTGCAGCTGGCGTGGAGTCGAATTTGCGAGAAAGTTGCCATAGACACGCTTGAGGAGACTGTTGTGCGCAGAAATCTCAAGCAGTCTGAAATTGAAACCAGTGTTACAGCCCTTGAGCCTGAGGGAAGCTGAAAAATCTGACTCAGTAGAAGAAAAACTGTTCAACAGTTGAACGCTGGCACTTTCCGACGATGCTTTGGCTAATGCGATTTCTTCATTGTTTCCCAAACACGCAGGACTCAGCCCTAGCCACCGTATCAACAACGTCTTCTTCTTGCACCGGCGCCTTTAGCGGGGAGATGGCGCTGGCAGTGATCGAGCGCACGGTGAACGCATCCAGGCGATTGCGCCTGCCGGTTTCTTTCAAGCCAGTTCGAGCACATGACCCTAGGGCTGCAACGAACCATGTTTAAGTTGAAACGTGGTTCCAAAGATATTTACCTTGGTGTAAAGGGATGACTAACATTTCCGGAGCGGATCCCGATTTCCCTTTACTGACATGGAAACGTTGTAGCACGAAAGGGGAGGCGCCGTGTTGTTGTTGCTGCTGCTGATTGTTGCTTGCTACATTGACTGTCGCTGCTATTGGTGAATTTGGTCTTTTGCTCCCACACAACTGTTGTTAGTTTGTTTGTTTGTCTTGGTGTTGGTGATAGTGTTGTTGTTGCGGTGCCTGCCTGAGGGAGCTGGGGATGGTGAGACCCCGCCAGGCACCCTCCCTTTGTTATTGTTGTTGATGTTGTTGTTGCGGTGCCTGCCTGAGGGAGCTGGGGATGGTGAGACCCCGCCAGGCACCCTCCCCTCCCTTTGTTGTTGTTGTTGTTGATGTTGTTGTTGCGGTGCCTGCCTGAGGGAGCTGGGGATGGTGAGACCCCGCCAGGCGCCCCCCCTCCCTTTGTCGTTGTTGTTGTTGATGTTGTTGTTGCGGTGCCTGCCTGAGGGAGCTGGGGATGGTGAGACCCCGCCAGGCACCCTCCCTTTGTTGTTGTTGTTGTTGTTGTTGTTGTTGTTGTTGATGTTGTTGCTGTTGCTGCTGCTGAGCTGCTGTTGCACTCTGGTGTTCTGGTTTTTGCTGGCGCTGTTTGTGACTGCTGTTACTGTCGCTGTTGGCGTGAATGTTGTCGCTGATGTGTTGCTGCTGTTGTTTGTCGTTGCGGCGTTCTTTCTGTTGCGATGGTGTTGGTGGCGGTTTTAGAAGAGGTTGCGATGCACACACTCACCCCCACACACAGCTGATTCGCAAAAGTACACGGGTGTGTCCTGAAGTACGTCCTTCGCAAAACTTAGTAATATTCTTGCATCCTTCTATTTCCCTCCAGAACCGCCCCAAAAAGAGTACCTTCACAATGTCACAAATGTTATAAAGCCCCCCCCCCCCCCACATGCATTCACTCAATTTAGCTTCGGCTAATGAGCAGACCTTCTCTCTTAAAACTAGAGTGCCATGTTTCTGCCTGAAGCTGTAGACTCAGCCCCCTCATGTCGCTCAAGACCATCAATAAACTAACAAACTAACAAGAACAAGAACAACCACACCATCATCAACAACAGCTACGACTGTGCTGTCACAACACAGCAACAACAACAACGAAAACAACAACAACAACAACAACAACAACAACAACAACAACAACAACAACAACAACAACAACAACAACAACAACAACAACAACGAAAACAACGAAAACAACAACAACAACAACAACAACAACAACAACAACAACAACAACAACAACAACAACAACAACAACAACAACAACACAACACAACACAACAACAGCAACACAACAGCAACAGCAACAGCAACAGCAACAGCAACAGCAAAGCAACAGCAACAACAGCAACAGCAACAGCAACAGCAACAGCAACAGCAACAGCAACAGCAACAGCAACAGCAACAGCAACAGCAACAGCAACAGCAACAGCAACAACAACAGCAACAGCAACAGCAACAGCAACAGCAACAACAACAACAGCAGCAGCAACAACAACGACGCCTGTAACAACCAACAACAATAACAACAACCAATAATAAGCACAACAGCAACAACACCAGCAGCAACAAGAACAGCAGAACGAGCAGCAGCAGCAGCAAACATCAGGCAGAACGGACACAACAGCAGCAACAATAGCAACAGTAACAATGAACAACGACAACGACAACAACAACAACAACAACAACAACAACAACAACAACAACAACAACAACAACAACAACAACACAACAGCAACAGCAACAGCAACAGCAACAGCAACAGCAACAGCAACAGCAACAGCAACAGCAACAGCAACAACACCAACAGCAACAGCAACAGCAACAGCAACAGCAGCAGCAGCTCAACAGCAACAGCAACCGCAACAGCGACAGCAGCAGCAAAAGCAACAGCAGCAGCAACAGTAACAAAAGCAGCGGCGGCAACAGCGAACAAGAACAAGAACAAGAACTACTGTTACTACTATGACGACAACATCAACCACCGCAACAACAACAACAACAGCAGCAACAACAACAACAACAACGACAACAACAACAGCAGCAGCAACAGCAACCAGTAACCGCCATGAACAACCCACAACAATGTAACAACAAAAACAATTAACAACCAACCACCATAACGTCAACAACAACCACGCGCAGAGCAGCAGCAGCAACAACAACAACGACAACAACAACAGCAACAGCAACAGCAACAACAACAACAAGAACAACAACAACAAGAGCCACAACAACAACAACAACCACAACAACCACAACAACCACAACCACCACAACAACCACAACCACCACAACCACCACTCACAACCGCAACCACAACCACAAAAAGAGCCACAGCCACAACGACAACAAACACAGCAACGGAGCATAAGGAGCTCGTCATTTGAGCAGTCTGTTGCCTAGTTGGGGGTGATGCGTGTCGTTTGCCGAGTCTATTTAAGGAAACCATGGCCCAAGTGAAATCTTGGAGTTTCAGACTCACAGCAAGGAAATTGACGAGACCTGTCGACAATTGATTGTCGATCATGTGCACTGGTGCAACGCTGCCCTGGACACATTCAGATCCCCGCCTTGCCTTCATGGAGACTTGCTGGGCATCATGCCTGCAGGGAGTTTTGACCCAACCAGCAGCTACATGGAACGGGCGCACGCAATCAACAGAGCGCCTTTGTGTGTGAACCAATACTGCTTTGCTCACAGCAAGGAATGCCCTGTATTTGGGCCTGCAGCGCGCAAAAGCCAGTATGACATATCAGGTCTTCCATGCCCTGACATGTCGCCAGCTGGTTTGCGAAAAATGTCGGAGGGGGCCACCTCTTCGGTGTTTGCTGCGCACGCGAAGATGCACGTTCAGAACCGAACGCCGCTCCTGGTCATCGAGAATGTGCCGGACCGCCTAAAAAGCGACGGGTAAAGTCTGCTTTAAAAGCGAGCGCATGACTGTTTAAAAAGAGGTTTCAGTAGCATGAAAGAGAGACTTTGCCTAACACCGCGCAGCCGCAGGAGCTATCGGTGCCGCTCATCCAGCACTTGTATGGGCGACACTACAATATAAGGCAGTTGTTTGCCTGTCCTACAGACCAAGGGCACGCAGGGGTTGCAAGAGACCGCACGTACCTCGCGCTGTCGCTCAAAGGCATTGCCTATGAAGCGGTTGATGTCGAAGCGCTGTACGAGTCGGTCAGCAAGTACATCCGCGCAAGAGTGGCAACACGACCGAGGGACTACGTGGTCAGCAACAACCGGGACCGGCTCGCTGAGGCGCAAAGAACTGCGTTGACTCGACATATCTCCTTGCGACCGGTCACTCAGCTGTTGATTGGCACCGGCTGCCAGTTGGTAATTCCATTCGGAATCAAGATCAGTTTGTTCTGCTGACATTTGATACATACTTCACCTGGCAGCGCATTGCAAAACCTGCGCAGCGCAGCAATTAGCTAGCCAAGGGGTTCCAGGATTCCTTAAACAGTACCCTTTGACGAACCAACGGTTTGACACATAATTAGCGTTGTCCATGTGAATATTGCTGTCTGACATTGGTTGGAGAGCGGTCGCTGCAACCTAGCGCTCAACCTACGTGTCATGTTTCTCGTTTAGGTGAACAATCGGTCGCTCGAGTGTTGTTACATTGCTGGCGAGTGTGAGCCAAGATCAAACCCGGGAAGCCGTACTCCATGCGCTACCTCCTCAACGACCGAGAGGCCAGAGCCTTGAGGGTTGTGTGCAGGTCATTTTACAAAAAGACGAAGCGCCGGGCAGACCAGTCTTTGGACCTGTTTGTCTATCTGGGAGACGACCCGTCGAAGAGGCTTTGCTGGTCGGCCACATCTGGAAGGTTGCCGACATTCAGGACTGGGAGTGGTCGCATGTACCATCCGGCGTCCGACACCTGGATGACGCCGAAAGACAAACTCACCGCTCTCGGCTTCCCAACCACTCCTGAAACCGCCATAGCGATGGGAGTGCCCATTCTGCCAGTGGCAGATGTCAGAAGGGCTGCTTCCATAGCCGGAAACTCGTTTCACTTTTCAACTGCAGCCGTAGTTCAGCTCTGCGTTCTCAGCAGTTTTAAGGTGGTGCTGAACGCTTGAACAGGCTGGCTGGCGCTCAATAAGTTTTCTTGTGGATGTTTTGCTAGCTCAACGTTGGAATAGGTCCCTCTAGCGATATCTGACCCGTAATGCAACAAGTTTAAGCAGTGTTTAAGGCTGGGCCGCGTTTTCGAGCACAGACACTTATGAGTCAAATTCGAATCTAGCAAACGCTCCGCCATCCAGACACACAGCTGGGTGAAAGTGCCAGTGCGCTGTGACCCTGTTTGCTGTTGTTCAAGTTGTTAAGCCAAACTTTGCAAATGCTCACATCAATCTATTTGACTGCAAATATATGAATGTCACACAATGCTTGTTTGAGCACACAGCTGAACTCTCTTTCATGTCCTGCCTTCAAGCTTTCCAGCAGATTGCCCTGCAACTTGACCACCTTGTGCTCCGTAGCAGCGCCTGGCACCCATGGGTCGGCGGGGTGAGAAACGGAGTCGCCGACGGAGCCCGAGCTCCAGCTCCCGGGAGCGGGGAAGATCCAGAACTAAGAAAACCATGAAGAGGGAGGAGATGGTTTCGCTCTTCGAGGATAGCGAATCGGGTGAGTCTGCCATGCAGCTTACAGCTAAACCACCACAAGTTTCCATACTTACCTTGCAACAAAGTGTGAACTCAGCGCGAATTTCTTGATATTTATGGTAAGACTTCAAGAAGGTTTTTGATTTCACGCTCAAGTAAGTAAGGTTCCCTGGTGGATTGAACCTCAATCCTGAGAAGCCCAGCCGCAGCACGGGGACGCAGCGCAAGGGAAAGGCCAAGTCAAAGGCGTCTGCAAAGGCAGGCAGCGCAAGCGGCCGTCGCATTGAGACGGAGCACTACAACGGTCAGACGACGTACAAGGACTTTGTTGACAGGGCCTCAGCGGTTACCTTCAGATCACTCGCCAAACACCAGCGTCACCTTTCTAACTTTCTGAGGCCATCAACAAAGGAACAGAGAGTTGTTGGTAACACAAATCACGGCCAAACAGACTTTAATCCATGTCAATCAGTGCCGCTCACTCAGGATTGCCATCTCCTGGACTGGCTGGAGAGTGCGGACCCCACATGGCTTCAAAGAGACGTCTTTAAGGGCGCCCGCCGAGCCAAGCTCTTCTCCGCCCTGGCGTTCAACTTTGGCTGGCTGCCAAGCGATCTCAAGTTGTCGTTTCTTGGCTAAAGAGAAAACTGAACCAGTGCCTTTGACTGAACCCAACCGAACACGGAGTTGCGCATGAAACCTGGCAAATTCCTTGCCCCCCCCCCCCACTAGTGTTTGATGAGCTCCAACTTCGTAGTTGCGTGTTCTCAGTGTCATTGAGATGACGCCCAACCATAATCTGAGAATCTACACGACTGTGGTTTCTTTTCGTTTGTGGGAGAATCAAAATAGACCTTGTTGTCTCATCTGGGTGCCAGACTCAGACCCTGCAGGGATCTGAAGAGTGAGGTGCAGAAAGGTGCTGCGTCGCAGTACGAACGGCGCAACAGGCCAGCAGCCCACACGGGGTGGGGCCCCGACGAGATGCACGCCTACACAAAGTACCAACTTCGGCAGTTTGCCCAGAACAAGCTGAAGCGCCGCGCCATCGGAGGCTATAGCTGGCTTTTGCCAGCGAAGAGCTCAACCGGTGAGCCCGCGCCGTTGCCGGATGAAGTGTTGAAGATGGAGAGCAAAGCAAGCGGCTCCAAGCCCAAGCGCGACAAGGCTAAGAGGGAGAGGTCCGACAGCAGTGAGTGTGGCTCACAGAGCTCCAAGTCAAATTGTGAGGCCAAATCCCGCGACTCCAAGCACAAGCGTGACCGTTCACAGCGCGCTGACCGCACCAAAATGTCTAAGAGAGAGCGGCAGGACAAGGCCAGCGAGAGCGACAGCAGTGAGCAACCTCAGGAGAAGAAGCGCAGCCGGCGTGACCGTGACACTGGGAAGCGGAAGAAGCGTGCACAGACCGACTCCCAATCCCCAGCCCAGAGCAGCTCCGAGTCGGCCCACCCCGCCTCAACCACGACCAAGACAACGCCCAGGGTCGCCGGCTCTCCTAAGATGCTGAAGGGCATGCAGAAGCAAGGCAGGAAACAAGAGTTTAACAATATTCGTACTCCTGCATCAGTTCTCAGTTTGCCTAGTTTGCCTTCTGGCTCATGTGATCGAAAGTGGCATTTTCTCTTGCGCCCCGAATTGTTGGAACGCCCCCCGACTCTTTAAGCAAGGAGTTTCCCTGCCGTCTGTAAGACCCTGTCGCTGTTGCAGCTGTCGGTCACAAGCACTGCGGCAGCCCTTTGCAGGACACTGCGCATGAGAAAACTAAAAAAAAACGCGCTCAGTTCAGGGACACAGGAGTGAACCAACACCAATCGACTCTTTGAACCCTTGTTTGTTTTGCCCCCCCCATTTACAATTTGGTTTGCCCCAACGAGCCAACATGCGCTCAAGATGTATGTTGAATTCACAGAACCCAGCAAAGTTTGCCCACCATTTCGTTCAATCCAGCTACGGACAGGGCCTAAGGCAAAACTGATGACCCAAAGTCAACTAATTTAGAAACATTCTCCCTTTCAATGGTTGATGGGTGACCGGGCACAAACAGATGGCCACCGCTGCTGTTGCAGGCAATGTTGACCAACCTGTTCTTCAAGCCCCCGTAGATGAGGTTCCCGACGACGATGAGGTGGGGTCCCTCTTTTCCGATGATGACCCCCAAGCGGACGAGTCGCCAAAGATTGAGCAAGTCTCGGATGGCAACTCAGCCCTGGTTTCGAAAAGGGACGGCAAAATGCTGGTCTTGCCTTCCAACGAGTCGTGGAAGCTTGCCAAATCGGTTACATCGTAAGCTTGCGCTTTTGGCAAACACTGTGATGTTTATCAATCCAAAAAAAAACACCTGGCAAGTCAACTGGCAGTTTGGGCCACCCAGGAAAATCTGCAAGGTTGCCGACAAGAACGGGACCACTTGGCTTTTGCAGTGCCAGTCGGACCCCAAGAAGTACCCCCCTCGGAGCGTTGCAAAGGCATTGCAAAGCAGCCGCGCCAAGGGACTTGCAGAAGTAACGCACTTCAGCTTAGCGAAGTTTATTTTCACCCGTTTCCAATGAGTTGTTTTGAGCTAGTCGCTTACCCACTGACCCAAAACAATACTTTGCTAAAATATTGAACATCAACTTGCAGCTAGCTACCCGCCCAGACCCCAGGTCAAGTGCCCAGCCTGCGAGCAAGATGGCTCCAAGCACTTCCACGCCCGCCGCGGGCGAAGTGCCTTGCAAGGAGAAGGGTGAAGAGCCCAAGCCTGAAGAGGCTGCGGCAGTTGAGGAACCAGGGAATCAACAGAAACAGGGCGACGACAACCTGGACAAGACCTTGGAGATTGACTTGAACAAGGCTCCGGACAAGATCTCGGAGGCTAAACAGGACAAGATCTCGGATACTCATGCTGACAAGACCTTGGAGGCTGCCGGTCTGGGAGCTGCTTCTGATAAGACCGCGCCTCTGGCCAAGACTACAGCGACCAAAGCAGACGAGACCAAGCCGAAGGCCTCCAATAAACCTATTAGAACCAAATTGAAGAAGGGGGACATTGACACGCTGCTTCCATGAGCCACTTGAGTGATCCAAAGCGCAGCCTTCTGAGCATATGTTGGCCCCTATGTTGACCGTGTTTTGAGCAAAACTAGCCAACATCAAGCCAATGTGAGCTCGCTCCCCATCAGTTCAAAAATAAGGCCCAAATAAGGCCCAAATAAGGCCCAAATAAGGCCCAAATAAGGTCCAAATAAGGGCAACCCCCAACGGTATTTGCAGATTTCAGAAAATAAGGCCCAAATAAGGTCCAAATAAGACCCAAATAAGGCCCAAATAAGGGCAACCCCCAACGGTATTTGAAGATTTCAGAAAATAAGGCCCAAATAAGGCCCAAATAAGGTCCAAATAAGACCCAAATAAGGGCCAAATAAGGGCAACCCCCAACGGTATTTGCAATATATGGCCAACACAAAACAACCAGCATGGGTTTAACTTTGCGTCTGACTTTAGGAGGGTTTTAATCTCAACCCCAACATTCTGTTGCAATGCGTGTTCGGTGGACAGGTTGCTTGACTGCCTGTTGACTGAGTGACTAAGTGACAGACAAGTATACGGTTTGAAGGATTAAATGTTGGCTTTGTTCATTGGTTGGCCATGCATTCCATCATACCGGATTTTGCCTGACAGCAAATCAGCGGACTTTATTTTGGTCGCGAAGGCGCTTCGGGAAAACCGCTTGCAAATCTCCTGCCTGCTGAGTTCTGCGACTTGTTGGCGTAGCTGGTTGATTGAAAAGATTGCTACGTGGCTTCAGATGGATTGTGCTTGGGTTTTTTTGAACGCTCCAGGCTTGATTTGTTTGATTGGGTGGGTGGGTGAGTGGGTGGGTGCGTGGGTTGGTTGGTTGGTTGGTTGGTTGGTCGGTTGGTTGATTCGTTGGTTGGTTGGTTGGTTTTGTTGATTGATTGACTGACTGACCGATTGATTGATTGGTTGGTTGACAGAGGGGTTTGCTTGATTGATTGACTGATTGATTAATTGATTGATTGATTGATTGATTGATTGATGGATTGATTGATTGATTGACTGATTGAATTGGTGAATTGCTTGCTGGATGTGGTTTGATTTGGTTTCATTCGATTGATCGCTTGGTTGATTGATTGATTGATTGATTGATTGATTGATTGGTTTGATTGATTGATTGATTGATTGAATTGATTGGTTTGATTGATTGATTGGTTGATTGATTGATTGATTGATTGATTGATTGACGGATTGATTGACGGATTGATTGACTGATTGATCGATTGGTTGGTTGGTTGGTTGGTTGATTGATTGATGGACCGACCGACCGACTGCCTGCTTGATTGGTTGGTTAGTTAGTTATCAGCTGGTTGGTTCGTTGGTTGGTTGCTTGATTGGTTGATTGACTTGCTCTCTGATGGCTGGTTGGCCCATTTACTGCTTGATTGATGGTTGATGGGAGGCTGGTTGCTGTAGTGCTTGATTGTTTGATTCCCTGATTGTTGATTGACGATTGTAACTGCCTGATTGGTTGCTGGGTCCGTTGGCGAGGTGAATGATTGCTTGATTGATCTGAATAGCTTTGCTTTCGCTTGAGCTGAGCTGATTTGATTTTTGTAGTTTAGTTGATTGCTGATGAATTAATTTGTTGATTGGTTGGTTGATTGACTTACTGGTTGAATATTAAATGCAAAAAATGGAAATTGTTCAGGAAGAGCAGAGAATGAACGGATTGGTTGTTTGATTGATGGATTGATTGACTGACTGATTGGCAGACTGCTTGCTTGATTGATTGGTTGAATGACTGACTGACTGCCTGACGGACTGCCGGAAAGGCTGATTGAACGATTGCGCGACGTGGCTGCTTGATTGACAAGATAGCTAAATAGACACCTTAAGTAAAAACAGCTAGATAGATTCTGTGATTGCCTGAACGAATGGTGGATGGCTTGACCTGAGTGCTTGATGTGGTTGATATTGGCTGTTTGGTTGCTTAGTTGGCTGGTGGCTTGGTTGGTTGGTTGGTTGGTTGGCTGGTTGGTTGGTTGATTGATTGGTTGTTTGGTTGCTGATTGGCTGGTTGATTGGTTGGTTGATTTACATGACTCAGTGACTGGTTCTGCTTGCCGGATTGATTGCTTGGTAGATTGATTGATTGATTGATTGATTGATTGATTGATTGATTGATTGATTGACTGACTGACTGATTGGTTGATTGCCTGACTGACTGACTGATTGATTGATTGGTTGTTTGATTCATTAATTGATTGCTTGATTGGTTGATTGATTGATTGTTTGATTGATTGATTGATTGCTTGATTGATTGATTGATTGATTGATTGATTGATTGGTTCATTGTTTGATTTTGTTTGGTTGATTGGTTGCTTAATTGGTTGGTTGATTGATTGATTGATTGGTTGATTGACTGATTGAATGCTTGAATGGTTGAATGATTTTTGGTTGACTGATTGATTGATTGGTCGGTTGATTGATTGATTGGTTGATTGGTTGACTGGTTGATTGATTGATTGATTGATTGATTGATTGATTGATTGATTGATTGATTGATTGATTGATCGATCGATCGATTGATTGATTGTCGATTGATTGATTGATTGGTTGATTAATTAATTGGTTGGTTGATTGATCGGTTGATTGTCTGAGTGATTGATTGGTTGGTTGATTTTTTTTATTGATCGATCGATTGGTTGCTTGATTGGTTGGTTGGTTCGGTTCGAGTTGGTGTGATTTGCCTGATTCACCGACGGATTGGTTGATTGCTTGCTGGATTGGTGTGTTTTTGATGGGTTGTTTGGGTTGGATTGACATTGGAATGATTGATTGGCTGGTTTGATTGAGTTAGTGAGTGATTGACTGATTGACTGATGGATTGTTTGATTGATTGCTGGCTGACTGACTGGCTGACTGATTGACTGGGACGGACGTTTGGTTGGTTGGTCTACGCGTTGTGATGTAGTGTTTGGTTGCCTGGCTGAGTGGTTGACAGATTCCCTGACTGCTTGCTTGTCGGTTGTTCGGTCGAAGTTGGACTAGGTGTTCAGGTTGGAGGCCGTTAGCTTGCGAGGCTTCAGGGGTGTGAAGCTTTTGCCTGTTCGCTATTTCAGCTACATTATTGCAATAGGGCCCCCCTGAATTCCTAAAGCAATCGTGTTTTCAAAACACGACCTTTTCTTACGAAAGACTGGTGCGCTCAGAGAGGAAGTCTTAGATGAACCAGTCGAAGGCCAATCAAATCCAGTGAGACAGCCCTGCAGGCAACTGCTAAGGTCTGCGCTTGGGTTTTAACTTGATGGTCAAAAATAACAGCGGAATCTTGGCAAGCAGTAATAAGGGTGGGGCTGCATGGATGTTGAGTGAACGGCCTGTCAACGGCGGCGTGGCGCCGTCAGTCAGCTCAGCAGCTCACCTCGCATGAGCCAATGTCAGCTCAAATCGAAATTATGTGTGAAGTGTCTGGGTTTGATCTGCACTGGGCCCATGTTAGCCGTGGCTGCGGGAGCTGTTTTACAGTGACTTGAGGAAGCCCTGAGGTAATTCTGTTTTGTGGTTTCGTACTCGAACAGCTCAGTTAAATCAAAGCAAACAGCTGTTTTAGCAATATACTGTTATTCGCCTCTTCGTGGCTCTTTGACCTTTCACATGCAATATTGACCTGTTGAATCGGCTTCCAAATCCAGTCGCTGTCAATCCGAGCGTCTGGCCTCTCTATGACTTATGATCACGATGTGGTCATCCTGGAGCGCACGTCCGCTGCGCTGCCATGAGACGGTCGAGACAAAAGAAACACGTGTGACAAGCATTCCTTGGGTTGACTTGGCTTGGGTGTGTCTTTTTTCTTGAACCTCCAGTAATTTTTGTGGTTTAAGCTAAAAGGGAAACGAAAAGGCAACCGCCCGTTTTGGGGCCTGTCACACGCTGTGTTGTTAACTTCAACTTCAGAGCTCAAGCAATTCACTAGTGAGCCACAGCCAAAAAATGTCTGGCATCATGCAGCCCAGCGGCCAGACAGGTCATGCTCATGATGGCAATGTTCGCAGCTCCGCTGCTTGCACGCCACCTCGCCGGATTCGACGCCAAATGGGAAGCCCAGCATGGGACACTATCATTGATGGCTCTGACTCATTGTCAACAAATGCGGCCAAGAGCAATGGCACCTCTGAGGGGCCCAGTTCAAACTCCCAGGGGTTGGATGTCGAGCTGGCTGAGGATCGTCCTGATAAGTCTAACCCTCCTGTGCAAAGCAAGAAGTCAGGGCCCTACGATTCTTCGCCGCGGTCTCCTGTGATCCCACTCCATGTGAGACTTTCGCAAAAGACCCTGCCTGGCTGTTGGCCTGCGGGTGGCAGCGATGTGGCCCGTCCTGTGCCAGGAAACGCTGTGACGCCACCACCTTCGACCCAAGCGATCCCTGCAGCAACCCCTCCGAGCTCAAGAAAGGGACCGCAGATGCCAAAGAAGACCATTGCCAAGCAGCGTGAGGTCAAATCCCATAGGTCTCACTGAGCGTGCCCAAGTCAGGGCGTAGTTGCTTGAGTTGTGTTGAGCCTTTATTTGGTTGATAGACCCAGTTTCAAACCACAGGGTCAGTCAAAACTCAATGGGAGGGGAGGAATCTTAATCGATGCTGTTCACTCAGTTATGCTGACTGTCAGCCTCGGCGCTGAACATGCGCATTCAGACGGCAGAAGTAGCCAGAGAGGAGAAAATAGGCACGCGTGGCAACGTCACACTTGCCCTGCAACAGCCTGCTTCATTCCGAACTGGCAAGGAAGTGAACGCCTGTTTTGTTCGTTTTAGTTTGCACAGCGCTGCCCAGGTCCTTCCAAAAACTGTGGCGGAGCATCTTGACGGCGCAAGCGTCCTGCGGCTGGGGGCCAAGTCTACGAGTAGTGCGTAGAAACACGACATGGCCGTGCCAAATTACCCCCGCCCAGGCCAAAACTGGGGGCGAGAGACGCAGTTTGCTTTTTCGCTTGCTCCTCAGTTTGCACGCAAGGTGTTCTCAGTGGACAGTCACATGTGAGCTTCTC